TATATATATATATATATAAAGGAAAAAATAAAATACACTCATCTCCCCTTACTCTTAGAATGGTTCTCCCCACCATGAGGTCAATTTTGAATGCACCTTTACCTTCACATGAGGTTCCTCTTGGCTTCTATGTTGGAAATACAGAAAACTGTGTATAGAATTGTATATCGCTAGTGGGTTAATAGCTATAAATCTGCAAAAAATGCAGTTTCATTCTGAATAGAATGTTTTTGTGGCTTTGATAGAAATGAAAATCCAATTTCATGATAAACAAGGTGGTTGGGTTACTCAGTGTTTGACATGGTATGATAGGATATATAATGTAGGTATATTTTTGCTTTCATCCATGTCCCTGGCTCATGAATGTTTGAGCTTTTCTCCTTGATTTCTGAAACTCCCCAAGGCCAGACATAGAACTGGTCATAAAGAAATTAAGGCCTTCATTCCGTAGGGTCCCTCCCCTTATCTAGAAGAGAGGAATGTTGCTCAGGAAAGCCCAGAAGAATCTGAATAGACAGGTCTTTCTGAGTTTCTCTACCCAGTCTATTAGCATCTCATGCCTATGCAATGAAGTCTCCATAAAGTCTCAAAAGGACAGGGAGTGGGGAGTTTCTGGCTAGCTGAACATGAGGAGGTTCCTAGAGGGTGCTGCATCCTCCTACATGCCTTGCCCTATGCATCGCCTCATCTGTGTCCTGTGAAATATCCTTTATAGTAAGCTAGTAACTGTAAGTAGGTGTTTCCTTGAGTTCTAGGAATTGCTCTAGTTAATTCATCACAACCAAGGAGGGGAACTCCAGCTTACAGCTGGTCGGTCAGAATAGTTCTAGAGGCCCAGACTTATGACTGGAGACTGAAGTGGGTATTCTTGTGGGACTGAGCCCCCCATCTGTGGGAGCTGATGCTGTCTCCAGGTAGATAGCATCATTATTGAATTGGATTGGGCCAGTTGGTAGCATGGTGGTTTAGGCAGCTGGATCCCACGTAGCCAACTTGCATAGTTCGCGTCCTGAGCCCATGGCTTGTAAAAACATGGCTGGTGAATATGTGTGTCTGTGTCTAAAATTCTAAGAAGAGAATGGAGGAGGAGGGATTGCAGCATGGCCATCTGGGGGGGGGTGCTTTCTCACTTTCTCTCTCCCTCTTCTCTGTCTCTCTTTAGCAAGTACACTTGCCCTATAGTAAATTAAGGAAAAAACAACAACCACAAAAAAATTGAATTGGCAGGAACCAGCAGTTAGCATAATGGCTATGTCGCTGGACTCCCACGTAGTCGACCGCGGTTCGCGTCCCGGACCCGGTGGCTTAAAACTCACACTGGGCGCGTGTGCGTACGTGCCCAAGATCCCGAGAGGAGAATGGAGGAGAAGGGATTGTGGCGTGACCATCCCCCCTGGGGGGTGATTTCTCGCTTTCTATCTCTCTGTCTCTCTCTCTCTGTCTGGCGAGCGCACGTGCCCTATAGTGAAAATCTCTCAAAAAAAAATATTGAATTGGCTTAGAGGTCACCCTGCTGGAGCCCACTATAGAAGTGCATGCTTGCTGACTGGTGAGGAGAAATCCACAGATGTTTTGTGGTCACAGAAGTGATCTGTGTCGATTGGTGAATGAGAGGATAGGAGAGACTGAAACTGAGTATATTTCCTCTCTGTGTCCTGTCAAGCCAAAAGAAACAACTATAAAGTATAAGTTATAAGGAAAAAGGGAGTTTATTGGCCTCATAAAACTATCATCAAATAAGAGTCAGGCCCTGGGGGACATAGACTCCCAGTAGCGTGGCCAGATGGAAATAACATGTCCACTGACCCTGAAAAGATAAGAGCTTTTTATGCTAGTGCAGAATTAAAGTGCATGTTGGTTGTTCTGGAAGAGTTTACATTGGGCAAAAATAACAGAGGAAGGTCTTACGGGGATGGAAGAAGGGAAAGGAAGGGGCAAAGGTGTCTGGAACAGCCTCCTGGCCGTGATGCTAGTCTGTTCAGCCGGATTTGTGATTGGCCTAAGGGAGACTCCAAACCTGCAATGGTCTTGAGAAACAACATCTTCTGATAGTCAGTCACTTAGTCAGCTAGTAGCAGGTCAATCACCTCCTCTCACTCTTAGTTCTCTGGCCCTTTGTGTGTGTATTTTGTGTAGCAGTCTCTTTTCTGGATAAATGTTATTTCTATAATCCTCAGACATAGGATGATAGGAAGACCCCAAGCTATGCTACTGAACTCTCCCGTCTTCTGACAAAATTTACTTTAAAACAATTATCCCTTCGAAAAGTATTAAGTTGGCTGGCTGTGGTGACACATTGGTGCCACAGTGCTCTCTGATGGTGAGGCCATATGGTGGGGGTTCCAGATTCACATTCTGAGGTCTTCCTGTGTCCAATGGGCTAGGCATATGCACATGCACGCAATCCTGGCTGCCTGGGGTGGGTTGTGGCATAGGGACCCTGCTGAGAAGCCTGTCTCCGTCTCTAATGGAAGAAATAAATAAATAGACTATAAAGAAAAAATAATAAATATGTGCAGAAATAGGCAAGGAATTTAATTTTTTTTTTTTTCCAACAGAAAATGGGTGTTAATTCCAGCAAGCTTATTTAAACACTTAGGGTTTAAAGAACAAGAGACAACCTAGGGGACAGTCAGGGCTTGAAACAACTAGGCCAGGCCGGTTGCCTGTGATTGAAGGTCACAGTCAAGGTAGTGACTTTCACTGCTCTTTGGGCAACATTATCTCTTGTCCGACTTCTGGAGTAGTTTGTCACAGGGGTGACTTGGTCCTTGAAGGTTCGAGTTTGCAGTAAAACCGTCAGGGCTGTGCTCAGTGGCAGATCTCACTGGGCATCTTTTCCATTCCACTCTGTCTAGCTACCACCTACCACCTTCACCTACTCTCAGGCTCCGTCTATAACCCAACGTCTCCAGCCTACTTTGATCATATCCGTGAGGCTCCAGCTCCAGCCCAGCTACCTGGTTCTGCCGTTTGAGGGCCTGTCATGCATTTCCCTTGGACTTACCTCAGTCCAGCTCCTAGTCCTCAGCGTGGGTTGGTGCTTGTCTTGGTCCAGTCAGCTGGCCTGGGAGGGTGGTGGAAGGAGCAGAAGGTCACCTCTGGGACAGTGGGTAGACAGGTTCTCTCAGGGGATTGGGTGGGAGGCCAGGAGAGGCTTATCTACTCCTGTGTGGAGGTCCCTGATCACCTAATGTTGATATCTTATTTTTCAGATCAGTCGTGACTTGTGCTCAAGATGTTTCCAGAACAACAGAAAGAGGTATGTCATCATGAATCCAGAAATAAACAGCCCATGCATTTTGATTCACCGTGAGTTAGTTCTTCATTCACTAACCATAAATCCATGGCATTCTGGAGGAGGGCCAATGGAAGAACGTGTACCTGCCTTCCTGAGACCCCCACCCCCTGCGCCACTGGTGTATCTGTGCCTTCTCCCAGGATGTGCCTCCTCCACCTTTCATTTTGGACAGTCTCCCTCTGGTCTGCTGTCTTGTTTTCTACTCCACTGACTCATCCCTGAATTCTCTCACTTTGGGTAACAACCCAGGGGAACCGTCGTCTGCCTTTGCTTTCAGTTTTTTGCTGCTGTTACCTTGTGGATCTCTGTGCCTGATTTCGTATAATTCGGATAAGGCTGTTCCTTCTTGACCACAATCTGGCTTCTTAGGCCTCTAGTCCCAGCTTCTTGAACTTCTGTTTGACTGGAAGGTGGAAGGTAGGATAAATACCACTTCAGCCCTTTGCTGAGGGTGGCCACTGTTCTGCCAACCTATGGTAATGCAATGCACATCGTTGGTTAGGGAGACTAGTGAAATGGAACAGCAGCATGTGGGCCCTTCTAGGGAGTATATACACACATGCACACGCACGCACACACAAATCACATAGACGTCTGATCACGTGATCCCCAGCTTGCCTTGCCCAAGTTTGAACTACTAAACAATTTTTTTCAGGGAATCTTTCTAGAAACTCTTTGCTAGATCTCCCACCCTTTCTTTTAGCCCTGGCTTTAGGTTCAGGTTCTCCTCAGTAGTCCAGCCCATTTCTACCCTTTAATTACAGGATGGGTTCCCCCATTTTTTTTTAAACTTTTAAAAATTGGGCTATATTATGCATGTGACAGTAAAATCTATTTATTTATTTATTTTTGAGAGTTTTTTGCTATAGGGCACGTGCACTCACCAGAAAGACAGAGAGAGACAGAGAGGCAGAAAGAGAGAAATCACCCCCCAGGGGGATGGCCACACCGCAATCCCTTCTCCTCCATTCTTCTCTCAGGATCTTGGGCCCACACGCACACGTGCCGGGCATGGGTTTAAGTCACTGGATCCAGGACTTGAACCACAATTGACTACATGGGAGTCCAGCGACATAACCATTATGCCAACTGCTGATCCCAACAGTAAAATTTATGAAGTGCCCTAATCTTGCATGTGTAGCTTGATGGATTTCCGCTTACATGTATTCCTAAGTAGCTACTACTCAGATCAAAGTGTAGGCATTTCCAGGGCTCACAAGGTAGTCTGTGTCCCTTTCCAGTCAGTCCCCTAGCTTCCACCCCCAGAGGTAAACCTACCAAGATCAAGACTTGGCATATTCTTTTCCCATTCTCTATTAAACAATCCTGGGACTTAACTGCTTGGTCCATGTCAGAGCCTGGAGATGGGCCTCCCAGTAGCCAAGGGCAAAGGTCAGACTCTCTTTGGGTAAGGTGAGTTCGTCACTTTTTTCCTGCTTTGTGAAGTTAAGTGAACTCTAGGTGGAGGGTGGTCCCCACAAGACTAACTGCCCTCTCTTCCATTGCCAATTCCATGTGTTTTTTCTTTGGGGGAGAGGGGTTGCTAAAACCACCCACAGGTTTGATCATTCATGAGAAAACTTCACAGGATCACTGAAGACCATTATACTCACAAATACGGTTTATTACAGGGAAAGAATAAAATTAGAACTAGCCAGAGAAAGAGACAGAGGCATAGGGCAAGGTCAGGAAGGGGTCCAGAGGTGGAGCTTTTGGTCACCCTCTACCCCTGCAGATGGAGCGAGATTACCCTGCCAGCACACATTGTGACAGCATCACAGAGTACTGCCAGCCAGGTACAGTCACCCACGCCTCAGGGGTCCAGAGTTTTGTTTTATTTTATTTTATTTTATTTTTGTCAGAGGGTACATGGTGCTTGCTAGGGGGCAGGGGTACAAAGCACCCTCCAATGGGGCATGCTCATGCCAAAATCCTTTTTCCACCATTTTTCCTTCCCATTAAGATTTCGGGCATGCATACCTAAGAGCCTGATATGTTTTCAACCTGCCAGGACCAGGATTCAGGCCACAGTTGGCCGTGTGGAATCCAGATCCCTATGGATAACGTTTAACCATTGTACCACAGGACCAGTCCAGGCTCCAGAGTTTTGACTGGAGTTCAATCTCCGTGGCTGATTTTTGTCTCCACCCTTCTTGGGGGCTGAGCTAATACCTTTGGTTGCCATTTCCTCTGGGATTTGAACTGATACAGCCTGGCCCAAATTCCTATCATAATCTATTGTTAGACCGGTGACCGAAGCCCTGGGTAAACAAAGACACTCCTTTCAGGTAGGGCATGTCAGGGCCTGGAGGTGGCCTCCCAGTAGCCAAGGGCGAAGGTCAGACTTTCTTTTGGTAAGGTGAGTTCTTCACTCTTCTGCTGGGCCAACTACTGGGCGGGCTGTGCCACAGAGTGGGGTCACGCCCACCACCAGCCCTATTCCAAAGGCACGGTTTAAGTTTTTCTCATACCAGCAAGGTAGGAGATAACCTGCCAGTGAAAACAACAAAGGCTTCTTTTTGTTTTACTTTCTAATCTGTTTTCTCTTTCCTTCTTTTCTTTTTGTTGACTGGTTTAATAATGATTTTTATTTTAAACTCATTTCAATGAATAAAAACTAGGCACTATTTTTTTTTTTGGAGAGGTTTATCACTATAGGGCGCGTGTGCTCACCAGACAGAGAGAGACATAGAGACAGAAAGCGAGAAATCACCCCCTTGGGGGATGGTCACGCTGCAATCCCTTCTCCTCTATTCTCCTCTCGGGATCTTGGGCACGCACGCACACGCGCCTGGCGTGAGTTTTAAGTCACCAGGTCCGGGATGCGAACTGCGGTCGACCACGTGGGAGTCCAGCGACATAGCCATTACGCTAACTGCTGGTTCCCGGCACTGTTTTTTTTTTTTAAGAGTTTTTTTTTTGCCATAGGGTGTGTGTACTTGCCTGAGAGGAGACAAACAGAGACAGTGAGAGGGAAAGTGAGAAGTCACCCCTTGGGGGATGGCCATGACACAATCCCTTCTCCTCCTAGGATTTTGGGCACGCAGGCACACACACCTGACATGATTTTAAAACCTCCAGGTCTGGGACTCTAACTGCATTTGGCTATGTGAGAGTTCAGTGCCTTAACCACCTTGTCATCTGCTGGGCCTCAGCACAGATTTTAACCATCTATAAAAGAAACATGTCATTGACCCTAAAAAAGTTATTCTGGGAGAGCCCTGTAGCCTGGTAGTTAAGGTAGCTGGATCCCACATGGCCGACTGTGGTTGGAATCCTGGCTCCAGTCTTGAAAAACAGCCACGCGCATGTGCATGCCCCAACTTGTGACAGGACGGAGGAATGAGGAATGACCATGCCCTAGTGAGGGTTGTTTTCACCCTCACTGTCTGTCTCCCTCTCTATCTCCGGCTAGTGCACACACACTCTGGGACTTTAAGAAAGAAAGAAAGAAACAAAGAAAAAATCCTTTCTTATAAATAATTATACAATAATACAGTAACATCAAGGAAATTTAAACTTGAAAAAGAGAAAGTTACTTCAAGTCAAAAGTAGTATAATGTTCAAAAATTTACTTCAGGGTTTGTCAGCAAGAAATAAGCATAGCCAGGCTACAGGCTAGATAGCCAGGCTACAGGCTAGATAGCCAGGCTACAGGCTAGATTCCGCACGTGCTGGGAGATATTACTGTTCTCACACAGCTGTCATTTTCTCCGTGTACTCAGGATGACTTCCTGGCTTCTAAGTGTGTTGCTCCTGGAACAAAGTCGAAGCATTCAAAGGTGGTTTCTAGGGCCATTCAGGATCCAGACTGCTGCTTTCTCCGATCCTCACCCCGGAGCATTTCTTCTCCTTATTTCAGAGCTTATTTTAGGGCTTTGAATGCTCTATGCATTCTTATCCTCTGGGCTTTCCAGATGTTTTTCCCACTGTCTGGAGTCATCTCATCCCCTGGCCTTCACACTGTGGTGAGTGGCTAACTCCTTACCCTTCAGGCCTCAACTTAGAAGTCAAGAAGAGATTTTCTAATGCCTCAGTTATAAAAGGTATTTTTAGCTCATTGCTTACCCCAGCAGCACACTATAGTCAATGCTAGTTAGAAGTAGAAGAGAGACCAGCAGTTAGCGTAATGGCTATGCTGCTGGACTCCCACGTAGTCGACCGTGGTTCGAGTCCCGGACCCGGTGGCTTAAACTCATGCCACGCACGTGTGCGTGCGTGCCCAAGATCCCAAGAGGAGAATGGAGGAGAAGGAATTGCGGTGTCGCCATCCCCCCTGGGGGGTGATTTCTCGCTTTCTGTCTCTCTGTCTCTCTGTCTGGTGAGCGCATATGCCCTATAGCAAAAACCTCTCCAAAAATAAGAAAAAGAAGTAGAGGAGGTTTCAGTTGCACCTTTCAGTATCTGAGTGTTTGGTTGTTATTTAGTAGAAATGCTGTAAGGGCCTGATGCAATATCACCAATCATCCTAGAATTTCGATCAAGGGTTCACCGTGTGTGTATGCACTTTCCACTTGGTGCTCTCTGCAGACATTACTAATTAATCATGAGGACAGCATGTGAATTGAGAACCATTTTACCATCCTTGTTCAAGATTCAAATAGCCTAAGAGTGACATCTTGGTTTTTCCTAACTGGTAGTGCTGGCCTAGAAATTTGGTACTTTTTTTTTTTTTTTAAGATTTGGGGAGTGAGGACTCAAATGCAGCCTCTCTTGTTAAAACAGCTTTATTACAGTAATAAATCTAGAGAGAGGAGAAAAGGGAGCGAGAGTCTCCCTTGTTAGTTAAACATGTTCCATTTGCACATCGGTTTGGATTCCCAGGAGAGCAGTATCTAAGCTGATGGATCTTCCCCATAAAAAAGCCTTGGCATCAGGCCATTGTAAAATGAAAATGAATTCAGATTCATTCATGCATGCAGCTTTAATTTACAATTAAAATATTATGGTTACATATTTTAATAAGAATAATTAGATGGACCCCACTGAATCAACTCCTCTGTTTAATGAGACAGAACCCAGAATCCAAATGGAAAGGCAGGTGGCTGTGACGAGAAACACGTTTCAGGCAGTGTGTTTTGTGGAGTCAGGCATTTTTGTTCCTTTTATATCCTAGTGTCCACAGTGAGTCGTCTGATTTTTCTGCTCGGCTAAGGAAGGCCCTTGCTGCCACCCATGCTGGGCTCTTCTCTTGCCGGTGGGAGTGAGCAGCCTTGTCTTGCTGGACACAGGCTGTGACCTGGGGTCTGCGTTCTAGCCCAGGTCCCTATTGTGTTCCTGCTACCTCCCTGAAAGCCTGGGGCTGGTTCCTCGGCCCCAGGCACCTCTGTATCTGATGTGACCTGAAGGGTGCACTGAAACCTGTGGGGTGTAGAAGGAGGGGCACATCTCCCCTGCTCTTCTGGATCATGACGGCTGCATTCTCCCTTTAGAAATATGTGCCTTTCCAACTACAGTTCGAGTCCCTGACCAGTGCTTTGAAGGTCACAGTGTGTGTGCGTGCATGCCTCAAATCCCAGGAGAGAATGGAGAAGGGATTGTGGCATGGCCATTTCCCCTTGGGGAGTGATTTTTCATTTTCCTTCTCTGTCTCTCTTCTCTCCAGAAAGTACTAAAAACAAATGAAAACAAAAAGAAATATACGCCTTTAGGATAAGGGTTTTTTCCCCTTTGAAATGTACATACTTCATAGTGGGTATACCAGCAACTCCATTATCCACACCTCAGTGACAATAAATCCATCCTTCCTTGGCAGGGAGGACCTGAGTAGAGCAGCCCAAGTGGGCCCAGGAGAGGTCAGGGACCATGAGGAGTGCCCCATGGAGGGAGACAGGGCACTGCAGGGAGAGATGGCAGGGTGCCGCCATGTTGGATGAGCGTCCCCGCCATGGTCATGGTCATGTTACCACCATCCAGTATGCTTGTGCTGCCCGGTGGTAACATTTTGGACTTGCTCCAGGAAAGCGTGGTTTTGATATTGGAAAGCTGATTGGAAACTGACTGGGCTGGAACCAGTGACTAACATTAAAGAATAATGACTATGGCCTAGTGTCTTGAAGGGAGACCACAAAAGAAGACAAAGCTGTCTCCCATTCCCCAAAGCTGAATTTGTTGTTTTTCCTTTTCCCACCTCCCTTTTCTCTCTCTCCCCTTTCCTTTCATTTCTTTGTCTCTGTTATACCTACTTATTAAGCTTTCCTGATCGAAAAGAACAGTCGTTTTCATGAGAAGCAATTTACATTGTTCTGTAAGGAAAGAAGAGAACCCAGGAGTATTGTCCTTTACAAACCCACACCAGGTTTAAGAGGATGCTTGCTGTCATTCTCAGCATGACATTGCATTTTGCTTACTTTGAGGGAGCTGATATTTCCTTAAACTCTAACCCTAACCTGTCATTTTTTTCACTTTTATCTTCCAAAATTTTTGTTTGTTTGTTTGGAGAGATTTTTGCTATAGGGCACATGCGTTCGCCAGAAAGACAGAGAAAGGAAGCAAGAAATCATCCCCTGGAGGGGATGGCCACACCACAATCCCTTTCCTCCATTCTCCTGTCAGGATCTTTGGCATGCACACACACGCACCTTGTGTGAGTTTAAGCCACCGGGTCTGGGACTTGGAACTGCGGTTGACTATAGCGTAGTCCAGCGACATAGCCAATATGCCATCTGCTGGTCCCTCAAAATTTTGTCTTTCAAAATTTTTTGCTATAGGATATGTGTACTCACCAGAGAGAGAGAGAGAGACAGAGAAAGAGAGATAAAGTGAGAAGGCACCTCCCAGGGGATGGCTATGCTACAGTCCCATTCTCCTTTTGGGATTTTGGGCATACATGAACATGTGCCTGGTTGATTTTCCAAGCCGTCTGGTCCAGGACTCGAGCCACACAGTTGGCCTTGTGAGATCCAGCACCTTAACTACAACACTACCTACTGGCATTTATTTCTTCCATAAGTGAGAGAGACAGATAGATAGCACTCCCAGCACAAGTCTTGGCACTGCTACTGACCCCAGCCCAGCCAGCCAGAACCCTGGGCATGTGTGTGTCAGGAAGGTCTCAGGACACAAAACCCAAGACCCTCCCAGCCTTGCAGAGTGTCATGTTTTAGTGTTGTGTCACCGTCCAGCCCCTATCTTATTCCAGATTTTAAAAGAATTGTTCACTGGGCAAGCAGGTGGTATGGTTATTAAGGCGCTGGACTCCCACATGGGTGACTGCAGTTTGAACCCTGGACCTGGTGGCTTGCTTTCTCGTTTTCCCTTTCTCTGTGTCTCTTGCTGGTGAGTGCATGTGCCCTATAGCAAATACAAATAAATAAATTAAATTAAATAAATAATTCTTAAAGAATTATTCACTGAAGAACATTTTGGAAAATGTAAAGGCATAAAATAGTTTGGCTTATTTCTTTCTAGTCTTTTCCTTAATATGAATGTGTCATTTTTTAGAAAATTGAGGTCAACCAGAATTTATAGCTTAATATTTCACCCTTCCAGCTTAGTGTTCTAACATATTTCAAGACATACTTTGCTAGCTGCAATTAAATTAGAAGTGGCTTGGAAAAAGAAAGAGAGAAGAATTCGTATAAACACAAATTTTCCCTTCACATTTGTTAGATGAAAGGAGAGTAACTTTACAGTGGAGAAACCTGATGAAGAATACCTCAGCTGAGCGACTGAGGTCCACACCAACAGCGATCGTTTCTTACTGCCAGTGCATACCCTTGATACTCGGTCATGAAAATGGCACCTCACCCCTGTGGTCTTTCTCCCCAGACCCATAACCTCAGTCCCAGCATGAAACAAACCTCAGACATATCCTAGTTGGGGGGAATGGTTATAAAAAACCTGACCAGTACTCCTTAGGGTCTTTAAAAATAAAGGAAGTCTGAGACAAACTGTCACAGCCAAGAGGAACCTAAGGAAAAATGATGACTAAATACCAAATGGGGTCGCGAATGGGATCCTGGAACAGATAAAAGATGGCAGGATGAAAGGAGGGAGCTCTGAATAAAGTACGGACCTCACTTATAGTAACATACCAGTCTCGTTCATGATCGTCACAGTGCACCACGGTCGAAGTGTTGATGCCGGGTTGTAATGTACAAGTGTCTTCACCCAGTTTCAACAATCACTAACTCTTGGCCACACTGTCCCCCTACCCCACCCACTTCCTCTTGCTACCATACAGTTAGTTGGGAAAAAAAAAATTGAGACATTGTGTAATTTCTTCAGTAAATATTTAGTATGCATTTTAGACAAATGACCTTTTCAGAAACAAACCATATTATTGCACCTTAAATAATTAAACATTGATTTCTTCATATCATCAAATATTCAGCCAGTGTTCAAGTTTCCCTGGTTATTTTGGAAAAAAATATTTGTGTATTTAGTTGGTTGTTTTACTCCTGATCCATATAAGGACCGCATGTCACATTTGGTTGATAGGTTGCTTAACGTCCTTAGTTCTCCATTTTTCCCTAGTGCAGTTGATTTGTTGAAGGAACTCCATCTTTGTCCTGTGGAGGTTTTCACATTCTGGATTTTGCCGACTGCATTCTTTTTTTTTGGAGAGGTTTTCGCTATAGGGCGTGTGCGCTCACCAGACAGACAGAGAGAGACAGAGAGACAGAAAGCGAGAAACCACCTGCCAGGGGGGATGGTCACGCCGCAATCCCTTCTCCTCCATTCTCCTCTCGGGATCTTGGGCATGCACGCACATGGGCCCGGCATGAGTTCTAAGCCACCAGGTCCAGGACGCGAACCGCGGTCGACTACGTGGGAGTCCAGCGACATAGCCATTATGCCAACTGCTGGTTCCCCCAACTGCATTCTTGTGTGGTAGTTTTGCACAGCATGCTGGTTATTTCTTGTTGAAAAAGATGCACTTTTCTCACTGTGTTTTTGCTAGTATGTCACAAGGTACAAAAGGGTAACTCTCAGGCCTACCCTCATCCTAGAGGTTAAGGGAGCTGGATCCCACATGGCCAACCTTAGTTCGAATCCTAGCCCTCATGACTTGAAAAACAATCTGAGGGTGCCGGCAAGTGGTATGATGGTTAAGAGCGCTGGACTCCCACATGGCCAACCGTGGTTTGAGTCTCAGACCTGGCATCTTGCTTTCTCACTTTCCATCTCTTTCTCTCTCTCATTCTGTCCCTATCTGGTCAAATTAAAATAAAATAAATTTAAAAAATAAAGTTAAATAAAATAATTATTAAAAAAAAATCTGGGTATGTGTGTGCACCCAAAATCCCAACAAGAAGGAGAAATGGAGGAAAAAGGATTATGGTATAACCATGCTTTCTCTCTCTCTCTCTCTCTCTCATTTTCAACCTCCCTCTCTCTCTCTCTCTCTCTGGTGTGTACATGTGCCCTCTGGCAATTAAACTAAGATAAAATAAAGAAAGGAAGGAAGTTACCATTAAATAAAGTAACTCTCCTTCATTTTTGACACAACTCATATAAAGACATGTGCAGTATCGTGAACTAAACTATTTTAAGTCATATAAAAGGTAGGTCTAGTTGAATCTCATCTAGTTGTTTATCCTGAAATAATAAAAGCTTCCTTTGAAAAAAAAAAAAAAAACATCATTCTTGGGACCAGCAGATGGCATAATGGCTAAGTCGATGGACTCTCACGTGGTCGACCATGGTTCGAGTCCCGGACCCGGTGGCTTAAACTCACGCCAGGCATGTGTGCGTGTGTGCCCAAGATCCCAAGAGGAGAATGGAGGGGAAGGGACTGTGGCATGGCTATCCCCCCTGGGGGGTGATTTCTCGCTTTCTATCTCTCTGTCTCTGTCTTTCTGGCGAGTGCACGTGCCCTATAGCAAAAACTTCTACCCTCCCCCCAAAAAACATCATTCAGAGCTATAGAGGATGACATTTAAACACACTCTAAGCTATAAAGTGCCAAGTAATATCCTTTTTCACATGTCTTTTAGGTTGTCATACTCTTACTAGGAAATAAAGGAAGATTACTTGCTATGTTTCTTTTCACCTTTTAATTTTATTTGAAAAGAATGTACTATGTGGCTAGAGTTTAGTTTTGAGATTGTGGTGTGGGGTTCCTGAATGGGACACTGGTGAATAAGACACTGGTTACATTTTGTAATCATTAGTTGTGTAGGTAAGTCCCTGCCTTGGATGGTGATGCAGCAGTAACATGGGATCCTCTGTGAGGCTGAGCCACATAAAAGGGTTCCAGGTTCGTGTCCATAGACCTCCCTGGCTACGCTGGGCATGTGTGTGCCCATGATCTGGGGCTGGCTGGGGTTGAGTGTGGATCACAGCATCAGAACCTCATGGGAGGCACTCTCTGTTTCTCTCTTTCTCTGTGTCTCTCACTCATAAAAGAAATAAATGAACTTATAATTTTTTATTTTTATGTTTTCGCCATAAGGCATGTGCATTTGCTAGAGAGGAAAGGCAGAAGGAAAGTGAGAAATCATCCCCCGGGAGATGGCCACACTGAAATCTCTTTTCTTCCATTCTCCTCGGAATTTTGGGTGCATATGTACACATACCCAGTGTGATATTTTAAGCCACGGGTCCAGATTTTGAACTGTAGTTGGCCATGTGGGAATCCAGTTGCCCTAACCACCATGCCACCTGATGGCCTTGGTAAATAACTTTGTATAAAGCTCATAGCATATAGTTGGTGTTCACTACATTTTAAGTGAATACACGAGTGAACCTCCAATTTAAATACACAGACAAGTAAAACACTACTTTGGGCTCGAGAAGTAAGGACAAATTGGAATAAGTTTTCATTTTATAATAGAAAATTCTCCTTAAATATGTGCAAAATTAATATTCATGTAGCACCTAGAGATTTTTCCTTATTAGTTTTTGTCTTCACTCATCTTTTGGTAATCTGAGTAAATACTTTTACAATTAGCACAAAGTAATATTTACTACAAAGATTAGAGCTAGACTGTGGTGGAAAATTTTTAAAAATACAACTGTACAATGGTTAAAATAAAAACATATGAATAATACCACTAGAAATGGTAATAGGTATAAACGCAATATCGTCGTATTATTGAGTAATTTGCATTTCTCTGAGGGCTAATGGTGTCTGCTTGTTTGCTACCTAAATGTCCTCTTTGGTGACCTATCCCTTCATACCTTTTGCCTATTTCCTGGTTGAATTCTTTGTGGTTTTTGTAAGTGTTGAAGTTTGAGAGTTCTGTATACATGTTCAATTCCAGTCCTTTGGGAGATGTGAGACTTAGAACTATTTCCTTCTCAGCCTATAAATTGTCTTATCATTTTCTTCACAGGATCTTTTGCAGAGCAAAGCTATTTATTTATTTATTTAGGAGAGGTTTTTGCTATAGAGCGCATGTGCTCACCACAAAGACAGAGACAGAAAGACAGAAAGCGAGAAATCACCCCCCAGGGGGGCTAGCCACGCCGCAATCCCTTCTCCATTCTCTTCTCAGGATCTCGGGCACACACATACACGTGCCCAGCGTGAGTTTAAGCCACCAGGTCCGGGACTCAAACCGTGGTCGACTACATGGGAGTCCAGCAACATAGTAATTACTCTAACTGCTGGTCCCTGAGCAAAGCTTTTTAGGTTTGGTCAAGTCCAGTTTATTACTTTTTCCTTATAGGGATTGCCCTTTGGGATCAAGGTCAAGACTTCTTTACCTAGTCCTAGATTCCAACCCCCCTCACTTTTTCCTTAGAAGTTTTATCGTTTTATGTTTTATATTTAAATTCGTGATCCATTTTGAGTTAATTTTTGTATAAGGTGCATGGTTAAAGGTTGAGTTTCATCTTTTAGCCAATGGATGTCCAGTTGTTCCAGAACCATTTGTTGAAAAGGTTTTCCTTCCTCCATTGAATTGTTTTGAAACTTTCAAAAATCAGTTGGGCATATTTGTGTAGGTCTGCTGGTTCCATTCATTTCTGTGTCTATCCCTTTGTCTTTGAGAGGCTAGAGAAGACAGAGTTTCAGAACATGCTAATAGCAAAACAATTTCCCCCTTCATAACAATGCTATTACTGTGGCTTTGGAAATTGCTTAATATTTATTATTATTATTTTAATTAGCAAGAGAGCATGTGTGCTTGCCAGAGACAGACAGAGAGGGGGAAAAAAAGCATCCCTGCCCAGTGGAGTGTGGTCACACCACAATCTCTTCTCTAGCTTTCTTTCATGTTGAGGTTTTGGGTATGTGCACACAAACCTCCAACATGTTTTTTAAGCCGCTGGGTGGGATGTGAACTGTAGTCAGTCATGTGGGATCTGGCTCCCTTAACCAAGAGGCTAAGGGACAGTCCCCAATATTTATTATTGCTAAACATACTTCATTAGATAGAACATATTTGAGAGTACAGACTTTGGATAAAAGCAGATCTGACTTGGAAACTTAGCTCTACCTTACTGGCCATGTGATTTGGGGCTAGCTGCTTAAACTTTGCCTCATTTTTCTTATCCGTAAAACATGATGATAGGCTGGCCCTGAAGCACAGTGGTTAAGCTCTGTGCATTGGGACCTGGACTCTACATGGCCAACTGTGGTTCAAATCCTGGCCTCGGTAGCTTGAAAAACATGCAGGATGCTTGTGTTTATATGCCCTAAATCTTGACAGGATGAAGAAATGGAGGAAGAAGGATTGCAGGATGACCCCAGAACATGGGGTGGGGGCGCTTTCTCTCTCTCTCTGTCATGTATACACATGGAAGTGCACATGCCTTCTGGCATTAAAAATTACAATGAAGGTGATATTACTGAGGTCTTAGGGTTGCTGTAATTATGAAAGGAAAATGCATGAAACAGTACAGCGTCTGGTATGTCACTGTCCTGTACAGTACAGCCATTTTGATTATTAATTTCATCTCATAACAGGGCTAAGAATCAGAAAAGGCTAGATGAGATGGAAAAAGATTGAGCCTGGAGTAGGGGTGGGGTGGGAGAGAAACAGGGCACACTGCACTCAAAGAGTCATTATTAGGAGAATATAGGAGTTTGATTTTCAGAGTCCAGCTGTCTTTCTTCCGAAGCCTCTTTTTACATGGAGAGCAGTAAGGACCAGTTAGTTTAAATTTTTAATTCTACTCTGCCTGGCTTTTTCTTTCCTATTAAATATAGTCATTAGCCCCAAGAAGTCATTAAAGTGTTTAATAAGGTTATTAAATTGAC